TATTATTATTATTATTATTATTATTATTATTATTATTATTATTATTATTATTATTATTGTTATTGTTATTGTTATTGTTATTGTTATTATTTGATCTCGAAGCTAATGGATTTCTTCTTGGCATTGAAAGATATTGATAATAAAGATTATGATTAAGATCGCTTTGTTGAGTATGGCGGTCACTACTACCACTACTACCACTACTACCACTACTACCACTACTACTAACACTACTAACACTACTAACACTACTAATGCTACTAATGCTAATACTACTACTATTATTATTAATACGTTGACGATAACTACTTAAATTCATTGCACTATGTCTGTGATTTATATTATTATTACTACCACTATTACTATTATTATTATTATTATATTGATGGTGACTACTTAAACTCATTGCACTATGTCTGTAATTTATCATATTTCTTATTCTTTCAATTCCCTCATTTTGTAGTAAAGAATTTCTAGACAAGGGAATTGAAAATCTTTGATTGCTATGAGTCTGGCCAGTATTTTCATCATCATCAAAAACATTTTCCGCCTCAACTATAGTAAAATCTTTAACTCTCTCTTTATAACCAATGGTAAAGGAAAGTTTATGGCTCACATCGATCAATTGTGACTCGATATCACAATTTACCCACGGACATAAACGAAAATTTATCGGTATGATATTTGGATCGTAATCAGTGTTTGGATCGATAGAAATCGTTTTTTTACCTAAAGGGAATCGATCCTCGTTAATACTTGCAATGACTGACATTGCGTGTTCACCTGTTGTATGATAATGAATTTGTTCCTTTATTCCGTACTCGATAAATTCAATGGATATATTAGAATCTAATGGTTTCAACGACAATTCCATGGAAACCAGACCACCTTCACGAAATGAAACCATCGGAGAATTTATTTGATAATGGATCTTTTCATCTAATGTGCTCTCGGTGAAAGAGGATAATTGATGAGGTTGGATAGTCGCTGTTTCATTAATCATACATCGTTTGATCATGACTTCTTTTTTTACTATCACATCATTGTTAAATATCGGCCTTGCCAAAATCGCATGACATGAATATTCAATTTTACCACGTGATCCCTTGAATGATGGTGGTAGGTTTCCTGGCAAGTCATACTCAAAATGATATTCATGTGCACCAGCTGAAATTCTTTTATCTGAATGTTCTGTTTGATGAAAAACGCATTGTCTTTGTAATATTTCTTCTATTTCACAATCTATAATATATAAAAGCAAATATGTTAAATTTGGACAAGGTGAAGATGGAAACGAAGATAACGATATGTGGCAATAAAAACATTCTTACATTCAGGCCTAGAAGATGACAGTGGAGGACCACAAGCAACAGTAGCTCGACCAATAAACAAAAATGTCAAAGATTTTATTGCGATGGACTTTTTGCTTTTCAAGATCAATTTCCCTTTTAGTTTACATCCTGATGATTCATCGGAATTTTCATAAATAATGCCATCAAATTCGCTATCAATTATTATTTCAAGCGAAACATCTTTTTTCTTTTTCTTAAACATCACTGCGAACTACCATCAATTTATTGATTTTTTTATTCTACAAAAGGATAGATAAGGAGATGATGATTATAATGCTAAACGAAGAATTTAAAAGTTGTTTTCTTGATTTGGGAGGAAAATATATTTTAAAAGAAGGAAAAAAATATGATTAAATTAAATTGAAAAAAAAAATTCATGAGTTTTTTATAAAATAAGCAAAATTTTTCTTTTATTATTATATCAATTAATAAAATTATCGTCATCACATTCCTTTCATTCATATAATTAATTTTAATTTACTCGTAAATCATCTTTACTGATTTTAGTAGTTAAAATGAACAATCTTCAAGCACGTGAACAACGAAATGGGTTACTTTTACTCTAAAAGAGAAAGCTGAAATTTAATTAATTAATTAATTGTTTAACATTATTTCTTTACTGCAAAACTTTAATATTAAACAATAATTAATCGATATTCTTGGAATGCAAAAATTGTGTAGATGGAGCAGTCAAATTTTACAAAAATGACGAATATTTTATTCAGATAATGAATATATTGACCCCCTTATAGTCAGTCATAGAAGATATAGCGAATGCATGTGTTGTAGATCAGAATCATTAGCATTTAAGGGTAAAGTTAAGTACGTAACACGAATTTTACTATGATACAGTCAAAAATATTATTTGTAAATATCATCCATTGAATGATAAGAGGATGAAAACTACGACTCCAATATTTAATATTAAAACAATATTTAATATAACATTGTCCTTTCCTCTTATGACATCCTTTAGCAAACAAATAAACAGGCTACAGTTTATTCTCTCCGTAACAAAGTCTTTATGATGAACTTCCCTTTTGTCCTAATTCATTTTTTAATAGTTAATTCTCTCTCTATAACGAACATCTTAGTAAATACACTTTATAATGAACAAAGGCACATGTAGGGACAGATGGTTCATTATAGAGAATGAACCTCTTTTTCTCATGTTCTTATTTAAAAATAAATTATGATGTTTTAATTCTCAATAATGTATTAATTATATTAATTATTTTCACAAAATACCAAGTAAAATTACAGAAAGACTCTCATATTTTTGTTTAAAGTGAAAAGAAAGTTTGATATAACTTCCACAAAGAATAGGTATATAGATCAATACATTTTCCGTGCACTTTGTATGGAATATGTACGGAATTATACATGAAAAGAGCGCTTTTCCGTACGTATTTGTACCTGAAAATACATCATGTACATTTTCCGTGCATTTTCCTTAATAGTAATAGTAAATTCTAAGCACAATAAAATGTACGGAATGTAATTTTTCAGGTCATTTTCTGAAAATTCCGTACATATTCCATACAGAATATGCGGAAAATGTATGGAAAAACCATACATTTTCTGACAAAATTTTTTATAGGAAATAGTATGTGTAGAGTAGATTGTTGTCCTGTTTTGATTTCTACTTCCATCCCTCAACTCATCTAGTTGTTTTCAAAAAAATGTACTTTGGAATCATAATTTTTTTAATACTTTAAATTACATACAAGTAAAACTAATATCATAAAATAGGCTATTTCATGTATAGCTCTTAACAAAGTGAAATTCGTTTATCAAGAGCCATTTTCGTCCAAGGACAGTTTTCGTTATATTTTTGATTAAATTTTTTGAATGCATAATTTTGTATATCTAGAACTTGCTCTTAGCCGTCTTTATCCATGGACAAAAATTCAGGAATAAGATAGAAATGTTTTAAGGTTTTAAATTTCATAGCTGTTTTCGTTAGACTTTTGGGTTATGAGCCCGAAATTGTTTTGTTAGATTTTTGGTTATAAAAAACAGCTGTCAATATATGGCCCTAGAGATGTCAGCATCCAATGACTCCATTCGGGATAAATCCCATCATTGGATTTTTAGAATGCATAGTATTTGCTTTAGAGCTAACAAAACGGCTAAAAATCAGTTAGATTACTATAACGTTTACAGGCGATTTCTGACATGCAAGCAACTTGATACCAAAAATCTAACGAAATGACTTGGAAAATGTAAACTCAAGTCTTTCAAGTGACACGAAAAACATGAATTCCAGTTATATAAAAAACGGTTATCTACTTAACATTCTGATTGAGAGAACTCACAATGTCCTTTCGGGTGTTTTGTCCCAATTGTGTAAGATGAAAATAATACAGATGAGATTGGCCAGTACTTATTATTGAAAATACAAAAGGATATATATTACAATGGCAGAGAGAACATCAACTCTAATATCTAAAGCTTGGAATATTGAGTGCTTATTATCCTTCAATTCCATCTTCTAGTGCATCAAGAGAGAATTTAGTGCAGCAAGATTAACTATCAATCAGCTTTGTACAGACTTAACCACAAAAAGTGGACAATATACAGTACGGTGCACTTTAATAAATGTTATTTTATTATAAATATAATAATATTAATATGTAAAATGTTAATGTGTAATGAAAAAAATTAATTTTTTTTGATCTTTTATAAAACTGGTTGTTGGAAATTATGGGGTCCAGATTGGAACATGGGTTTATTTATAATGGCATCCAATATGAAAAGGCGCAAAAAAAAAAAACCTTTGTAGTCCCTAACTTGTAATGTTGTGTTGTCTAATAATAAAAAATATTCTGTATTTTTTAAAAATAATAATTTTTTCAGTAAAGTTGATATTTAAACTTGAATCTTAAATTTTTATTAAGAGATCACTATTCATGGTAAAAGTTGTAGATACAAAGTATACAAGTCATAAAATTGTTAAAAGTTTAATCTCAAAACTCCTTTCAAAGTTACATATCTTCAAGTAAGCATATCTCTTTAAACAAGTGAATTGGGTAACAAAAAATATATCATTAAATTCTTTGACCCCTGAAGAATAATATGTTTATTACGTAAAGTTGGTGATGCTACACACATGAAATTAAACCACAAATTTGTCAAAATATTTGTAATGAATGCTTTATCTAAATAGGATTATCTAAACAAATATTTTATATACTTTTGATCATCTGACTGATTTTAAGACTGATAGGATTGTAAATAAATAAAAGGAAAAAATAGTAAGACATCGACAGAATTATGAAATATAAAAAAGAACTATATAAAAGGAAAAAAGAAATGATAACGCTAATATTAATAATGTTAATAGTAGTAGTAATATAATTAATGATTACATTGACAGTTTATTAATATACTTTTTAAAAATCTTGTCGCACACTATAAAAATTCGTGAAACGCGCGATTAGTAATTTTTCGACGAATTTTTGAATGAAATTTTCTTATATATCCAGCCATTTCGTTGTAACAAGATTGTGAATTTTCCTTTCATTTTACTTTTTAAAAAATAAAAATTCTTTCCTAAAATATTATAATTCATTTTTATCAAAAACTTTCCACTTTATGTATAAATTTCATTTTAAATAATATATAAAGTAACGAAATGGCTAATATGGACGACCTTAAACTTTTGCGCGACGATCAAGAAGCCAGAGAATGGATATATATGGCTAAAGTAAATGGTTTCATGTTGTTTTATGATTACGATGATTTCATGGATGTAGAGTTGGTTGAAAATTCCACTGACATGATAATAAAAAAGGCTGTTTTAAGGTCATTACAAAAAGTCGTAACTTTGTCAACATCTAAATTAAATAATCAGTTCTCATTGAGGCATGTACTTTTAGAGGTTGGTTATTGAATATAAATAAATATTTTTTTTGAATCTTATTTCGTAAATTTTTATTTTATTATTTAAATAAAAAATTTATTTATACAAGGTACAAAAGCTTCGTAGAGTTTCAGCCCATGACAATGTTTTGAGCTATATAGGTTTAACACAAGAGCCTAATGTTAATACTGTTACTATGGTTTTAGATTATGCTAATGATAATTTACGAGATTATTTAAGTGACAATGACTTATCATGGGCTAAAAAACTCCAACTTGCCAAACAATTAACAGGTGGATTATATTGTCTACACCAATATGATGTGTATCATGGTAATTTGGTAATTATCTTTAAAATTTTTATATTTAATTCATGATAAATTTTTAACAATATATTTATAATAGAGATCAGACAACATTGGTATGACCAATGGTAGAATAAGGCTACATAATTTTGGACGGTACAAAAAAATAGAAGAATCTAAAAAAACTTTGGCTCAATATTTTGAAGAAATACCCTATTTAGATCCTCAGCATCTAAAGAACCCAGAAAAGTTCTTTAGAGATGAAATTATATCTGATATATATAGTTTAGGTGTGTTATTTTGGGAGATTTCATCACAAAAA